TGTGTGTGTGTGTCTGTGTGTGGGGTGTGATGGAGTGTGTGACCCTGCCGGCCTATGTGTGTGTGTCTGTGTGTGGGGTGTGATGGAGTGTGCGTCCCTGCCGGCCTGTGTGGGTGTGTGTGCCCGTGTGGTGTGTGGGTGTAGACATGTCTGAGTGTGTGTGCCTGCCAGCCTGTGTGGGTGTGTCTGTGTGTGGGGTGTGATGGAGTGTGTGACCCTGCCGGCCTGTGTGGGTGTGTGTGCCCGTGTGGTGTGTGGGTGTAGATATGTCTGAGTGTGTGTGCCTGCCGGCTTGTGTGTGTGTGTCTGTGTGTGGGGTGTGATGGAGTGTGTGACCCTGCCAGCCTGTGTGTGTGTGTGTCTGTGTGTGGGGTGTGATGGCTAAATGAGCCGCCCCTGCAGGGGCTTTGGGCAGCGAAGGAGCCGCCCCTGGTCCTATGGGGAGGGGCCTAGGTTGGACCCGCATGTCCCACCTAGCTGACCGGGACTCCGGTGGGACCCAGGCTGGACGGGAGCACTGGGCCCCTGGGAGGCCCTCGGCAGAAGGTCAGCTCAGAGGACACGCGCTGGGCTCAAGTGCTGGCCGCCAGTGACAGCAGCTGCAGGGGGCCTGTCTGGGGACCTGGAAGGAGCTGGGGGCCTGCACTCAGGTGGCGAATGCACCCCACGTGCAGAGACGGGGCTGCACAGAGCACTTCCGCACCCACCCACTGCCAGATGGTGCCTGGCCTGTCCTGCCACTTGCCCCTGCGCCTTGGATCTGGCGTTTCTAGGGGGACACTGTCGGAACCAGCACCAGCCTGAGCTGGGACAGTGGGTGTGTCCGCTGTCTCAACTCCTCTGAGATGCCAGCGTTTGTGCCTGAGCCCAGAGGCTTCCACAGAACCTTGACTGCCGGAGGCCTCATCCCACAGACGCCTTCAGGTGGAAATTCTGCCTGCCACATTCAAGGTCAAGGATGTTCTGTAGCCTTTGAGGTGGGTGGGGGTGGGGGTGCTTCCGGCAGATGGAGGTCAGCCCTATGTCCGCAGGGAAAGCATATGCCCAGGGAGGCAGGGGACAGAGGAGAGAGGGAGGCAACAGGGTGAGTACGCCGTGGGAATGAAGCGCTGTGAGGCCAGGCCAGTGGCGGGGTGGGGCCAGGGCCTAGTGGGCCTCTGGGAAGGCTCCTGGGGACAAGACCCAGAAGCTAATTTGGAGGGTCCCTGGGGCCAAGCCTGAGCAGGTGTCTGAGTGCCATAGTTGTTCAAGGCAGGCGGAGCAGGAAGGCCCTATGTGGGGCCGGCACACGTGAGAGGTCTGTCCCTCCGGCCACAGTTAGGAGACCAGTCTCCCAGCGAGACGCGTCAGGCTGCAGCTGGGCTCACCGGCAGCACAAGTCCTCCATGCCCCACTGTGCTGGCTCCTGTGGGCCTGGAGGGAGGGCTGCTGGGTGAGCTGGGGCCCACCAGGGCAGCTCCCACCACCAGCGGCTGGCTGTCCAGGCCTCCTGGGGTCTGCGGGGATGGGGGCTGTGGATAGCCTATGTGGGTGCTCGTGTCTGTGCCCTGGTTCAGAGAGTACTCGTGGTCCAGGTGCTAGTGGAGTGAGTATTCCTGGTGAGGGACAGCCTGTGT